TTATTTCCCAAAGGCTCCATCTGCAAATACCAGTGCATTGAGGGTTAGGGCTTCAACACATGGATTTGAGGGGACGCAACTCAGTCCATAGCAGTGGCCTTTTTCCAGAGCATGTCCTGAAGAAAAAGGGAAAGACCCAGACCTTTCAAAGGCTGCTGGGTTCAGGGTGTGGGCCAGCATTGCTGCCAGAGGCCAGGAGACACCCGGGTAGAGTGGAGGCTCATGAAAGCCAGGTGGTGAATGGGTTCTCATGCAAGCACGGCTAACGGGCCCGAAGGCTCACACTGTGGTTCCTGGTCCCTACGTGCCTAAGCGGGATGCATGCACTCAGAGCTGGCAAGACCCTGTCCCATTAAATAAGAGCCATTATGGTAGGAAAGGCCAAATGGAAGCCTGTAACCACCCCACCCCCACCCCACACACACATATTTGACCAATTTATTCACTCAGAAGTAAAACCACATCCTGGGAGATGAGCACCAACATCAGTAGCTATTTGCTTCCATGTGGGGTAAATAGCAGAAATTCTTTCTTGTCCCTGGGCCATGTGAATGCTCCTGCTCTCTTTCACAGCATAGTATTTGGTGACTTTGATTATCTTAATATTCCGTCGAACCATGATGGTTCACTGTGTCGATGGCATAATGCTAATCTGATGGAGTCCTCTGGCTGTCCTGGTAAGGTGCCAGCACGCCAGAAGGTGGGCGGTAACAAATATGAAGATTCAGGGCCTGCTGCACTGTGAACGTTTTTCTTTCTTCCCTTTTTTTTTTTTTTAAAGATTTTATTTATTTATTTTTAGAGAGAGGGTATGGGAGGGAGAAAGAGAGGGAGAGAAACATCAATGTGTGGTTGCCTCTCACACGCCATCTACTGGGGACCTGGCTCACATTCAAGGCATGTGCCCTGGCTGGGAATCGAACCGGCGACCCTCTGGTTTGCAGGCCAGCACTCAATCCACTGAGCCACACCACCCAGGGCTGGTGAACTTATTTCTTACCTTTTGTTCTGCAATGACTTAAATGTATATAAAAGTACACAAACTAATAAAATTAACCCCTAAAACTACCATCATAGCCAATCTTATTTGATCTATATCCTCACTCACTTCATCCATTTCACATTAGTTTGGAGTGAATCGGTCGAGTTTCTAGGGATCCAGTAGTCTGAAGCATGCCAGGTCATCCCCTGTAAAGTAAAGACGAGTCTTTGTACCCCGTACCCTCCATCACTAATAAAGAGACATAACACTTGGTGGAAATATTACTCTGACCCACCTGTTGGGTGCCAGTGAAGCCCAGAGCAAGAGAGCTCTACAGTGAGTCCAAGTATACTACAAGGTTTCCTGCCGTTTGGTCTGTATGACCCAGCAGCAAGATGGTGCTAGAGGTTTGTGGTGACAAGGATGCTGAGCAGGGTCTCTGATAAACCCTAAAAAAGACTTTCAGTACAGATCTCTACGGTTCCAGAACAAGGTTGTGCCTTCTGCAGCAGAGAGCTTTTTGCCTTTTCTGAAAAGCAGCTGTGGCAATGGAACATCAAGTGTCTGGGAAACTAGAGTTGTCCAGTATGAGTTGGGTATTGTCAGATTCTATCAAGTCTAAAGATTAAGCAGGAGCACCCACAATCCATCTTACAATAGAAGTGACAGAGGCAGGACCAAGGCTGGGCAGGTCCACAAGGGTCGTGTAAGTCAATGAACAGGGTGCTCAGACCCCTATGACACGTGTCTTAGCTACAGCAACACTTCTCCCTTAACCCAAAACTATGGTCTTGTGAGATGGCTCTCTATAGCCAACTGGTGGAGGAAAAAAATTCCCAGGCCTGACTCACAGATAGGTTACTTTGATACTAGCCAAAAAGGGGATTGTTACTGCAACACAGCCCCACTTAGGGGTAACCCTAAAGGACAATGGTCATGGGAAATTTTCCCAGTGGGCCCAGCTATAAGTAGTACAGTTGGGTGTTCATTTTGTATGGAGGGCAAAATGGTTTGAGATATGGACTTATATATACTCATGGGCAATGACAAATAGTTTACTTGAATGATATTGTTTGGCTTTCACACACATGTGCAACCTGGAAGTCCAGGCAAGTTGACCAATGGAGCTGGAACTAGGAAGCAAATAACTCCTCATTCTCTGTAGCTCTTGTAAGGTCCCAGTGGAATCAAATCCCTGTCACTCATAGCAATGAGGATTGGGACAAGGCTCAGGCAAGTGAAGTGAGTGGGACACTTGTCCCAGGTGCAAAATTTAAGGGGGCACAGAGAAATTCAATAACCAAGATTAATAGCATTTAATATCGTTTAAAAATTCAAACTCAGTATAAAAATCCATATGAACAAAATATAAACATTTTACGGAAAGACAGGGTCAGTATTGCTCATTTTTTCCTGTGGCCTCCAGCTGCACCGTGTCTCAGCTCAGCATTGTCACTGGTCCCGCCCATGGCCAGGGGCCAGCTCACGACACAGCGAGTGTTGGCCTTACCTCCTCCCCTCTTGACTCCCCCTAGTCCCTCACCCCTTGCACTAGGATTACTACTCAGAACAAACTACCTCCACATAAGTTCTTGACTCAGGCTTTGCCTTTTTACTGCGGAAGAGAGGAGTTGAAATCCTCTCTAGGTTGAAATCCAAGCTAAGGAAAGTAGTGGCCACATTACAGTAAGTCCTCACTTAACGTTATTGATAGGTTCTTGGAAACTTTGACTTTAAGCAAAACATCATATAAAGAAACCCGTTTTACCATAGGCTAATAATGCATATAAACAAGAGTTAACTTCCCACAACATATTTCTGGCAAAAACAAAACAAAACAAAACAAAACAAAACACCAAACTTCTAAATAAAGACCCAACACTTCTAATAGTAAACATTGAAGTGAATGTGAGCTATACAGACACTTAAGAAAAATGAACAAAAACAAGCCAGCATTATTTTCCAACTCGCTTCTTCCAGGTCAGGGTCACAGGTGGCCAGAGGCTATCCCAGAAGCTCAAGATAAAAGGCCAGAATGCACACTGGACAGGACACCCTTCCATCGCAGGGCCACTCAGCCACGTACACACACACACACACACACACACACACTCTCATACTGGGATGACTAAGACAGGTGTATTCACCTTACGTGCCCATTTTGGGGATGTGGGAAGAAGCCAGAGGACCTGGAGAAAACTCACGCAGAGACGTGAAAACACCACACAGACAGTGGCCCAGGCTGGGGATCGACTTTTTTCCCTCATCTACGTTAAAGCAAAACAACATGATATTGAATGAAATGTTATTCGAGGACCTGAGATAGATAGATACATAGATAGATAGATACAGATCTGAAAGATCTATGGAAAGATAGATATATGTTTCTATCTTTCTATAGATCTTTCAGCTCTATCTTTCCATAGATCTTTCAGATCTATCTTTATCTATATATCTATATCTATATATATATGAGAAGGATATTTTTAAAAGTAAAGGGAAGGGCTATTCACAATTTCTCTGGACTACTAGGCATAAATCAGAGCTGTCCTGGCACATCAGGATGTATGGTTTTATTACATACGAGGACATTGAGGTGCCAAGGAGATGGGAAGCCAGGCTGGGAAGAGGCTACAAAAAATGAGGCAGAAATGTTCCTCAGCCTCTTACCCAAGGCCTAGAGAAGCAAACACACCCGTACAAAATCTCCAGCAAGGTGCCCCCTTCAGCCCGACAAGTTCACCGGCCTCAGGACTCTGTGGGCAGCCCCAGACAGGCTCACACAACAGCAGAGGGACCTTAGGCATGGACACTGAGCAGCTGTAGTCCCTGCTCTGGTTACCCCGCTCGATCTGGGCGCCAGACTGGACCTTCGCCTCCCTCCTCCCGCCAGTCCCTGGACTGGGGGCAGTCCGTCCTGCCAACGGGAGGCCTTCCATCCCCAGAAGGCTCTGGCAGCTGCCCCATAAAGAGTCCTGGGGACGTGGAGGGAGCCAAGGGATCAAAAGCAGAATCGAGGAGTTGTGGCTTGAGCGTTTCCATTAAGAGCTGTCACAGTGGGCCAGGCTCCGTGCCGAATTCTCTAAGGCGTACGCAGGACACTGGGATGGCCCCTGCCCCCGACCCCCTTCGTCCCAGCCAATCTCTGACGCAGTGTGACCTTGCCCACCTCTTCCGGGCTCTGAGCTTGTTTTCCCTGGTTTAAGGTGAGGCTCCCGGCGGCCCCTTAGGCGCTTCCCTGGGTGCTGCCGGCTGGTGGCCGAACCCAGCCCTCCTGGGACTGTTGGGGGTGGGGTGGCGCCCTGTCAGCTGACGCCCGACAATAGCGCGGCGCGCGTGCGAGAGGGAAGGGCGCGCTGTCACCGCGGCGCTGTCCCCGCGGCGCTGTCCCCGCACAGGTTTCTCCGGAGCACCGTTCCACTGACTCCGGTCCGTGCCCCGCCCGCCCGAGGCCGGCGGAGATCCGACTCCGGATTGGACGGGACTGCGGAGAGACCCGTGCCCGGGGCAGGGGACAGAGGCCGACGGAGAGGGCCCGGAGCCGACCTTTCAAAGACTTTGCTCTCCAGCCTCGGCCCCTCCCTTTCGTCCGAGGCCCGGGTCGCGTTGCTCAGCTATCAGGATCGCCGGGGACGCGGAGGGCTCTGGAGCCTAGCTTCTTCCCCCATGCTCAGGTCGCCTCGCTGTGCTCCAAGCCCCTGAAGAGTCCGCAGCGGGGTCTCAAGCAGCGGGGAGCTGGGACCCGAGGCGGAGACGGCCCGGGAGTCCCACCCCAGGGGGCCGGGCCGCCCTCCCCTCCCCTCCCCTCCCCTCCCCAGCCCGAGCCGGGATGGGGGTGTGGTCCCGAGTTCCTGTGGTGGCTTCCAGCTCTGCGTCCAGATCCCGCGTTAGGTTTCCCGGGAACCGGCCCCGGCGGCGAGTCCCGGTTTCCGCAGCCTGCCTCCCCGCGAGCGCTCTGACGCCCTCGCGTAACGCCCTCGGCCGCGCAACGTGCTCCAGGGAACGCTCCCATCGTCGCCCCCTGCCGCAAGCTGCCGAGCCGTGGCGGGAAGCATGCGGGACTACGACGAGATGATCGCCTTCCTGGGCGAGTGGGGGCCCTTCCAGCGCCTTGTCTTCTTTCTGCTCAGCGCCAGCATCATCCCCAACGGCTTCAACGGCATGTCAGTCGTGTTCCTGGCGGGGACCCCGGAGCACCGCTGCCGGGTGCCGGACAGCGCGAACCTGAGCAGCGCCTGGCGCAACCACAGTGTCCCGCTGCGGCTGCAGGACGGCCGCCAGGTGCCTCATAGCTGCCGGCGCTACCGGCTCGCGGTGATCGCCAACTTCTCCGCGCTCGGGCTGGAGCCGGGGCGCGACGTGGACCTGGAGCAGCTGGAGCAGGAGAGCTGCCTGGATGGCTGGGAGTTCAGCCAGGACGTCTACCTGACCACGATCGTGACCGAGGTGGGTGTGTGAGCAGCCCTCCGTCTGTGTCAGTCCCCTCGAGACTCCCCGCTCTGACTGGCCCGCCACTGCGTTATGCTTCTAACACAGGTGTATAGCCCAAGAGAGCAGGACTCCCATTAAGCTCCTTCCTGATCTCTCTGTCCAGTATGGAGAGGATGGAGAAGGCAGGATTATCTCCAACAGTCTTTTCCTTTTAGGGTTTCACAACAGACAAGGTTGTTTCTCAAGATGCTGTCCTAGGGAGGCCCAGCCCCAGGCTTCCCAGATGTGCAGGCTGAGTCAAGTTCTGCGGGCGGCAGGAGGGGGGTGTAGGGGACGCTGCTGAGCCCAAGTGCAGACACGAAGGGCAGGTCTGCCTGCCTTCGACCGCAGGCTTCTGAATGCATCAGGGGGCCTCCTGCTCTGCCACAGACCTATGGCGAGGCTTGGGTCCCTGTCTGGAGTCTCCAATTTCTCTGGGAAAGAGCGTAGGTCCTGCTGTTGCTGGCTGAGTGCAGGGAGCCAGACAGGAGTAACCATGGCACCAAGGCACACATGAAGACACAGACGCACAGAGACCCCCTGAGCACAGGACCCAGTGGTGGACAGGGGCTTCAGCTCATGCCATTGGCTCCCTAGCATCCTAAGGGATCTGGTGGCAGGTTTTCCAAGTTCCAGAAGTCCAGAAACACACATACTTCACCCCCTTTATTTCCTGCCTCTCCTCTGGTAAGAGCCAGGAGATGCTGGGTCGGGGCACAGTTCCTTCTGCGGAGAACATCCTCACAGTCTAGTTTCCTGCTACTAATCCGGCAGGTAGGATTCTCTGGCTTCTGCACCCCCCCACCTTCTCTGTGTTCCTCCCAAGAAAAACCTCAGGGTGGCCTCTGCTATGCCCTTCCTTCAGCACAATCTGGCAATCATCAGACGTGGCTGGCTTTTTGCTGGGCACCAGGCTTAGGCATCTCAAAGCTCAGATGCCCATGGGGGACACTGGTCATGTTACAGAGAGGGCTGACACTAGCCCTGGGGAGTAACAGGGTTCTGGAGCCTGAATTCAAACTCTGACTGGCTTGCTGTGTGACCTGGGACAAATATATTACCCTCTCTGTGGGGATAACAAGGTGAGGAAATATGCCAAGAACGGGTGGTGGGTTTAGGGGGGGATAAAATGTGAACTGAGTCTGGAAATAGAAACAGGGCTCATCCAGGCAATGAGCATGCCAGATTCTGGGAGTGGAATTCCTTAGATCAGGGTGGCTAGGGCTCAGAGGCTGACAGCTGAAGCTAGAAATGCCTACAGAGGCCCGTTCACAGTGGGCCTTGTAGGAATGGAGAGGAGTTGACTTTATTCTGAGGACAATAAGGGTTCTAAGCAAGGGGTAACATGTCCAGATTTGTGTTTTTGGAAAGAGCTTACTGTAGCTACTATGGAAAGCAAGAAGGTTAGTGAAGAAGCTGTGGGAGTTGCATTGGTAGGGGCTGGTAGCCAAGCAGGAGCGGTGGCTGCGGAATCTGCAGGACCTGGGCAAAGTGGGCTCAGCCTGCAGACCACCGCAGGCTCCTGCGGGCATTGATGCCATGCCTAGCCTGGGCCCTGAGCTGGCCTTGCTCCTCCGGCTCTGATCCCTTAGGAGGGCCTCCTAGTGCTTGCCCACCCCCTGCCCACAGCCTGGCCCAGGGGCACCTAAGCCTGGGGGCCAGCTCATCCCACCTCGGTTCCTGGAAGTGTCATCAGCAGCTAAGCTGGAGCTGGTCCTGCTGACCGCACCCCTCCCTGACAGCTATGCTGACCTGCCTCTTTGCCCTCTTTTCCCTTCCTTGTTGGTTTTGTTTACCTCAGGTATCAGGGGTGGGTAGCTGCCAGCGTCCAAGTCCGTAGCTGCCCTGTTGTGCCCTGCTGTGGGGATGCGCTTTGCCACACATACCAGGATTTGGTGGGGTTTTTTTCATCAACCTTTCCCTTCCTTGTTTCCTTTTTGAGTGGTGGGAGGAAAGTAAAATGCAGGTGGGCACTGGTGTTTGGGAGGATAGCGCGAGAGGCCCAGGGTGACTAGGGCGGGGCGGCTCTCCCCAGAGGGCAGGGGGAGTTCTGGAACATCAGCTCTGGCTCCAGCGCTAAGCACCCGGCTGACTTTGGCGTGTGCGTCACTGCTCAAGGCCTCACCTTCCTCAGGTGAAGGGGTGCTCAGCATCACTGATCAATAGGGAAATACAAAGGCAAATCGAAACCACAATGAGCTACCACTTCACGCCCATTAGGATAGCTGGTTGTTATGTAAAACAAAACAAAACAAAACAAAACAAAACAAAGCCCAAAACAGAAAATAAGTGTTGGCCAGGATGTGGAGAAACTGGAGCCCATGTGCACTGTCACTGAGAATGTAAAATGGCGCAGGCACTATGAAAAACAGTATAGCAGTTCCTCAAAAATTAAAAATAGGATTACCATATAATCCAGCAATTCCACTTTTTGGTATAGATACAAAAGAATTGAAAGCCCGGTCTTGAAGAGATCCGTGCACACCCATGCTCATTGCAACATTATCCACAATAGCCAAAAAGTGGAAGTAACCCAAGTATCCATCAAAGGACGATGGGTAAATGAAAGGCGGCGAATATGTACAACAGACTCATCGGTCTCTGTGTGCCTCTGTGCCTGTGGTAGTGTCCTTCCTTAGGGGCTGTTTGAGAAGTTCAATTTCCTTGTCTGTGCAGTAACTAAGAATTGTGTTCTATTAAACTTTATTTTGAAATAATCTTTGATTTAGAGAAAAGTTGTGAAAAAAGCATAGAGAATTCACATAGACCCTCCACCTGGGTTCCTGTAATAGTCCCCGTTTACATAACCATAATTCATGTGTTCAAACCAGGACCTTAACGTTGTTGGTTACAACACGTTATAACGGTTATGATGGCTAATGGCGTTGTTGGTTGTAATATTGGTTACGATATTGTTAACTAGATTTTAGACCTTGTTTGAATTTCAGCAGTTTTTCCACAAAGGTCCTTTTTCTGTGTTAGGGTTGTAATGTCCCTTCAGTCTCCTCCGATCTCGGATTGTTCCTCTGTCCTTCCTCATGTCTCATGACCTTGACTCTTTTTATGAACCTATCAGTTACTCTGGTGAGTGTCCCTCAATTTGGATTCATGTGATTTGTCTCACAATAAGATTGAGTCTGTGAGTTTTTTTGTAAGAATACCGTAGAAGGGGTGTGTCCCAGCACAGCACAGCCTCAGGTACGTGGGGTCAGCATGGCTTATTCCTGGTGACGTTGACACAGACCACTTGTTTAAGCTGGTGTCTGCTGGGCTTCTCCACTGGAAAGCTACAGCTTTTCCTCTTTATCATTAACATATCTCAGGGGAGATACTTCGAGACTATACAAATACCCTGTTTCTTCTCAGACTTTTACCCACTGATTACAGCATCCGTCACAGGACCAGCTGTTTCTGCGGCACTTGCCTTGTGGTGGTTTTTGGATTTTCTACATTCTTTACAATTTATCAACTGGGATCTGCAAAGAAGAGCTTCCTATTCACTCCTATGTATTTCTTTATACAATTATTACTTTATATCAGTATAGACTCACACATATTTATTTCGTTCCATGAGTTGTCATCTAATACCACCCTTATTCGTTCTTATTGCCTCGGTTTTGCCAGCCTGAACCAAATGATTCTTCACTTTCAAGATAAAGAATGTGAAAGGCAGGATAAGGCCCTGTCATGTCTTTGGAGCCAGGGCTAGAGACAGACATCAGGACTGTGCTCGGTCGCAGGGAGGGGGTGTGCCAGTCGCCACAGGAGCAGAAAGAACAGGGGCTGGTGGGATCTGGCCCAACAGACTGAGACTGAAACTTCTGTTGGGGGAAGCAAGGGACCTCGAGCATCTCAGGCTGTGGGATGATGGAGTCCTTCTCACTGGGACCTAGCGCAGTGGTGAGAGCCGTCTCTACGGGGAGGCAGGCACTCGACATAGTGCTTCAGTGCTATGGGCCCTGAGAGCCAAGGCCCTGTGCGCAGGGAAGCTCAGAGGCCTCGGCCCCGAGGCTGGAGGAGCAGGGAGGCAGCACGTGCCCTGCTCCACTGGAGGACTAGATGCACCGGAAGGGCCACAGGCGGAGCAGCAGGGGTGAGCCGAGCGCCCGGCCAGGGTCGAAGCATGGGCCGGCCTCTGCCTCACACACACCCTCTCTCCGCCGTGGGCCCCCCTCAGTCCCCCCTCAGTCCCCCCTCAGTGGGCCGGGAGAACGAGGCAGCCACCTTGAGGCAGGCGCCATGCTCCAGAGGCCCTGAGAGAGCCAGCTTGGTAAGAACCGGCCTTCAGGGGCAAAAGCCACCAGTGGCCTGAGGCAGGGCTTCTTCCTCACCCAACAGACACGTAACCTCTCCAGCAGCCGGGTGCTTCCTCTAGAAACCTGTGGGTGGGGCTGCTGGTGGCTATGCCTTTAAGCGTGATAGTCTCCAGCAAAGGGCCTGGATCTTTGGAGGCACTCGCTTCATGTGTCTTCCCTGGGACCTGGGGTCAGGGCATGGACAGAGCAGGACATGCTGATTTCCACCCATGGTCCAAAGTTGGGAGGTAGGAGGAACGTGGGGGTGCCATCTCTGCTAACAGAACCCTTATGGAAGGCATTGGGAGCAGCAAAGGAGGGGACAGTGAGGCAGACTGAGCCTGGCATTTGGCTGGCCCCTGCATGGGAGTGCATTCAGCAGCACACAGGGAGGTCCCTCCCCTGGGGCCTGGCTGGGCTCCTGCAAAGAGGAAGACTTTGAGTGGTAAGCAGATTTAGGAGGTTTTGTTTCCATCATGCAAGCGGACTGCCTTGAGATGGTGTGGCGGCCCTGACAGTTTGGTTATCAAGATAGCTTGAATATTAACCAAGCTCGCACTCAGACCTGCCCTCTGGCAGATTCCAAAGCGGGTGAGGTGTGCAGAACTCTGTCTCCAGCCAATACCAGCAAGACTTTTATTTCCAGTCCACGCTTCAGAAAAAGCTTGCCAGGGAACAAGG